TCAGGTGATTCTATCTTGCAAATGGACCAACAGTGGTGATTTATTAAAAGGCTGCTTTTTGAAAGGTGTTCTGAATGTAGCCTACAGCAGCTGCTCTTTCATCAAATATATCCCTCCTTCTGCCTTCTGTCGGCGAATATCTCTTGCTAACCCGAAGTTATACCTAAATTGAATTATTTTAGTAATTCTGTTTCTAGTACAAACTGTGTTGGCACTGAAATATGGGGCAGAGTAACTGTCTTATTTCTATGGCTGTATCAACAGTAACCTTAAGCAAGTTTAGACAAATGCAGTGTAGATTAAGAGGGATATTCTGCTTCCAGCTATATCAGTTAAATTTTTAAAAATCCTGTTACTGGTATTGTCTTCCTGGCTACTCTGTGGTATTGCCGTAATGCCTGATGCTCTGGTTCTGACTGGTGCTGCCTGGCTAGCATCACACAGCACATAAGCAGAATGAATGTGATTTACAGAACAGGTCATTTGTAGCCACTTGTGTGTCAAATTCAGCACTGACAGACAATCTTGTATATGTGTGGATCATCTGGCAGTTAAGATATCAATCCTTACAAAACCAATTTGACATTTTACACTTTTTCCTGATGGGTAACGAATTAATACATGTTATGCTGCATTGATACCTGCTCACTTCTCCTGAACAATTTATACCTGGCTTGCATCATTATTTAATCTGGTCCACTATGAAGCAGCACAGAACCATTTTGTTTTCTCTCTATTTCTCTAACAGTGTACTTCCTTAAAGGAAAATTCAGGGGAGCCAGTTGCACATGTTTATGTTGAAGTGGGACAAGTACCTGAACAGTTAATAATTTGATTCAAATGGAAGTCTGAAATACCCGTATGAGTTAGAATTAGAACTGGGTTTTACCATTTTTAGAATTTTTGATTGATTATTAGAAACTAATAGATGGAGATATGCTGTATCTTATTAACTTTAAAAAATATTTTCCCTACTTCATTAAAATAGGCAAAAAATAAATTCTGCATTTGAATATTCTAGCATTTGAATACACCTGGAAGGAAAATTTTAGCTTCTCTTTCATAATCCCCTCTGTGTTTAATTTATTTATGAAAAAGACATTTACCTCTTGGGTCATCTACTTTCTTTTTCTTTGCATTTCAGAGCAGCTATAGATTTTACAAACAGCATGGCAGAAGGCTGTTGCTTTTACTTTACTTTGCTCAGCAGCAGCACTGGTGAGAGAAATATCAGGAGTGTTCAGGATATGCACAGTAAAACCACTCAGAAAACTAAAGAAATCAGAAATCTTTGGTCATCTTCCATGAGCACCAGAAATAACTGAAGGTTATCCAGAGTTGACACTTTATATGTCTGAACATGGAGCAGGCTTGCTGAAGTCCACAATTTAAATCAGTCTGAAGCCATCCTGTGGCAGCTCTGCCCTCCTGGTGCTTTGCTATTGGACACCCCTACCTCATGCTGGTTCTCATCCCTCACTGTCATGGTGCCTCTGACACCCAGCTTGTTCTGACTGAAGACAAGCATCCTCCATATCAGTCTTCTTGTTCCCTGTTCAGCTTTCATCACTAGTGCCCTGGATGGAGTTACTGGGGCACTGTCCTCAGCCAGGACTCAGTACTCCAGGGCTGCATTACCCAGCGCCAGCCCTCCCTGTGGGAATTACAAAATCTACCACAGCCCTGGAGTTTGCAGAATGATGCACCAAAAAAGGAGGAAGACACAAAGCAGCACTCAGGTTTTATACACTTGCTTTGGACTAATAACTACTAAGGCAAATAAAATTTGCAAAGCAGCAAATGATTCAAAGCAGCAAATGATGCAAAGCTGACAGGAGCTCCTGTCCACCAGCATACCAAGGGGGTGATAAATAAAAAGGAAGTTCATTTTCTATTAGGAGAAGGAAATGTTTCTCCCCATATATAATGTGCGCCAGGGCCAAGAATTGGACATGATAGACAACCGTTACTGTTGATAAGTGTAATATTCACAGATGTAATTATTTATGGAAACAATTTGAAAGTGACAAAAAATTTCATGCTTCAGACCTCAAGGCAATACTTATTCAAACCTAAACCCAAGCATGAACAGTAAACTATGGATTACTGGGTTACTTTCTCCTTTACCAAACACCTAATCTATTATGTAGTCATCTCTTAAGTCAGCAACATATACCAAGTTTGCCTGAGGCAAGTCTTAGTCACATTATTCACCGAAGTTATCCTATTTACTTTACTAGAACCACTTGAATGATTAAAGTAAATAGAATTTGGTGGCAAGATTTGCCTCACAAATGCATGTCTCCACCTGATTTTGTCGGTCTCCAATTAGTCCCAGATTTCTGTGTCTCTGAAACTGTTGTTCCAGATATGAACTCATTAACTGTGTAGAGATGGATTTTTTTATTCCCTGCTCAGTATTTGATCTCTGTGACTGTAGCTTAGGAATTAATCGGATTTCTTCTTGCCATATTTCACTCTAAATATGTAGCCAATTTCTCACAAGCTTCCAGTCTTTCCTCTGATTTCTTCTACTTGTTGGGATTTTTAAATCCTGTTTAGTGTTCATGATCAAATACTTGCCAGAATACTGCAGTTACTCTAATACTTGATGGCTTTAAAACATGTCACCACACTGAAAGAATCAGAAATTTCTAGAATAAAATATTCAATCCTGGGGGGGAAAAAGGGAGGGGGGGGGAAGCAAGTTGTTTTGGTTTTGCCACAAGGAGAATTTTTCTTTTTTAGAAATGTAAATGAAGATTAAGTAAGCTATGAAGGTTGCAACAGAAGTTTAACATTTATATTCATTAGACAGAGAAGTGATCTGCTGCCCAAGTAGTAGGGATATACTTACTTGTGATGTTTCATTATCACATTTACCATATGTTTCATTTTTCACTGCTATTCTTTTGCATGAAGACAGACAGTAAAAAACAGTAAAGTAGTTACAACAGTGATAACCTGTCTTATGTTATAGGTAAAATTGGCTTCTTGTGCGGGATATCACTCACCCTATTTCACCTCATTGTCTCTATTTCTAATTTTTGCCAGCACTTTGATCACTTGCATCTACATTTGCAGGGAGAAGGTGAGGGAGCAGCATTATGGCTACTGTTTTATTGGAAACATTCCTTAGAGCCACTGCTTGAGCTCATTAGACACTATCCTGATTTCCAAGCTTTACAGCCCCTCCCTTCTTCTATGAACTTTCTGTATTCCCCAAAGCATCTTAAAAATTTCAGGTTCTCTTCCTTCTTAACTGCTGTTACAAAAGTGACGGAAGATAAGATTGGTAATAGGACAACAAAATGGCACTTCAAAAAACACCCAGTCTTAGAATTTGAAGAGTATGCTTCACGTGTTTTACGTGTTTCACTCTGTTAGAGCAATTTAGCTCAGAGCGAGACTCTCTTTAGATCTTTACCAGAATTGAGCAACATCAGTAGTAATTCAAAGTGTTCTTTAAATGAAGGTTTTTTTCTTCCCAGCTCTGCCTTACTCTGTTTTATATATGACCACCCTTTTATTTATGATTATCAAGAATCAGTGTTTAAAAGTCGTTTTCTCCAGGCTCACTTTTCACATATGCTGGCCTGGTGACACAGGCTCAGCAGTTCCCAGGTGTTAATAAATTCCTAAGCTGCTCTCTTCACTCTAGAAAGCTGCAACATATCCTTATATCAAAAAGCACAACTGGAGAGGCTGACTTCAGCACTCATCAGCCCGTATTTGTGTAATGGGAAGAGGAATTCTTGTAGAATCCTTTTTGGACTCAAGTAATCCCAAATCCAAGGTTACCTGAGTAATGTCAATGCATTTGGTAACGCCAGAAAAAGGCAAACTTTTTCCTTAAGTCATTCAGTCACTCTGCATGTATATATCATGTTGTTTCAGCATTATCAATATCATAGAATCATAGAATCACAAAATGGCCTGGGAAAACAAAGCAATTTACTTTATCTTCTCGTAACTATGCAAGAAGTTAATTAGACTTGGTTTCTCCACACAGGAACACAGACAGACATATCACAATGCAATTTTTAACACTTGCTAATTTTATGAATTATGATTATATGTGCTTTGTGAAAAATACTCTTCCATTACAGAAATGCTCTTTTTAGTACCAGAAGAGTATAGTGGGCTTAGACAATTAGAAAATTCAGCTGTGTGATATTAATGACTACATATTAATCTCTATGAAATTTCTAAAATTTTGTAAGGAAGCAGTATTGGCACAGTTCTGCATCTGTAGAGCTTTCTTGGATGTTTTATTGAGCCTTATGCTGCAAGACAGGATCTGTGTTAAACCAGCCTCACTACTGCTCTGCTCATCGAAGTCTTAGTAGCTTTGCATATATTATAACAGTTTTTACATGCCTTGAATTTCTTTTTATTAACTCTATTGTGGATATTTTAAAAATATATGCTTCTTACACAAGTCAGTAGCCAACCTTGCCTAATTCCAATCCGTACATCGGGAAGTATTTTAAAAGGTTGAAGTGTGGCATACCATAAAGAAGTTACTGAATAATATTTTGTTCCAGTATAGTGATGCTACTTTCTTAATACACTATATCCATACAGAGCTCACAGCTCAGATGATAAGAGGGAAAAAAATTTTCCTTTACTTCTCTTATGAGCTTTATCCCATGTGGGTACAACCTCAGAAGCCCCAGTGTGTACCTACCCAGCACAAATCTTAACACACATATCCTCACTAACTCTCTTTCATCTTCACTGTAATCTGGGTCTCCCATTTCCACTCCTTCCTCACTGGTTGAAATAAAATATTTCTGTGGATACCCATCTGACTCTGAGAGACACTTTCAACTAATAGTGAGGTTCACAAAAAACACTATGTTGCCTCATCATAATTTTTAAGTAGCAGAATCTTAAGGTGATTTCTGTTGTGAAGTTTCCATCAGATTAATCTTGATTTCTCTTTTTTTTTTCTTGTTTTATTTTTATCTTTTTTTTTCTTTAAATTCTTTCCATAGCTGTAACTTATACAAGTTACAAAAAAACACCACCACCGGTACCCCCTCGTACCACTTCCAAGCCACTGATCTCAGTCACGGCACAGAGCAGCACAGAATCCACCCAGGATGCCTATCACGACAGCCGGACTCAGAGGATATCCCCGTGGCCGCAGGACGGGCGAGGGATGTACAACTCCACCGACAGTTTGGACAGCAACAAGGCCATGAATCTCGCCTTGGAGACTGCAGCCGCACAGCGCCACGCGGCCGAGGGCCAGAGCACCTCCATACGGACCAGCGACAAGGCCATTTTAGTGACAAAAGCAGAGGAGTTTCTTAAGAGTCGGCGTTCCTCTATAGGGATTCAGGTAGCCTATCATTAACATCTGCCTGTGATGAATTTCTTGTCTTCTGTCTGGAAATAGCATAGAATGAGTCATTCAGCTTCACTGGCTCTAATAATCTAACAAACAACCCCTGGCTGCTTGGTGTTAATTGTGATTCACATCATGGCAGCATGGCTGTGCAGAAAAGTCTTTGGCTAATACACTGTACCTGAAAGAAAATGAATGAATAAATCTCTAGGGAGGTTACCTGTCATTAACACTTGATATGAAAATTATACTGCAGAGCTACAGGTGAACAGCATGTTCATCTCCTTCTCTCTATGAATTCACAGTCCTTTTTATAGAACTATGCCAGCTTCAAAATGCTTGACTCTATTTTTTCCATTATCTTTCTCTTTTGACCTTGGAAAATGTGTAATGCCACTCGATCTTCAATTATTCTCCCTAAAAAGAACCCCCCTGCTCTTACTTGTAGTTGTACTGGAAAGAGGGTACCAAGGAAGAGAAAGAAATACAGCATATTTCATTACTTGCCATAGGCAAACACAGTCTTAAAGCATTCTTCCATTTGTCCATCAAAACCCACAATATTTATTTCACCTGAAAAAACATGTGTCAGACTGTGGAAAGCTCAGTCAAGTTCTATTGTTTCAGGCAAATGAAATAAGACATCTCCAAATGCAAATTTTGATTGCTATTCCTTCTACTAAATGGAAAGTACTAGATAGCTGGCAATGGTCATTTGTTTAAATCTCTAGAATATACCAAGTAGTAATAAAAATCAGAAAGTTGAGCTTGCAGAGAATGTAAAGTCCTTTGAGATAGAAGTAGAGGAAGATTTAGGCTTCTGTTTTGATGAATATTTCCCTTTATATCACTGGGGTTCACTTCTGTGTTAAAAATATCTACTTTTGCTAGATTAGCTATAGAGGAAATGCAATTTATTTTGTTATAGCTATAGGTATTGTGGCAACAGTAACATAGATCTTGAGAAGGTAATAACCCATGTAAAAAAAGCCCAGTGAGTGACTGTGTATTGGAAATATACAAGAATTTACATGGAAGTATATTATTTTCTTTAAAAAGTAATTCCATTTCCATTAATTTCACTGTATACTTAGAGAGAACTGTTTGGGTTAAGCATGTAGCAGCTACTGATGGAACTTCACAGGTTAACATTTTAGTGTTATGTAATTTTGCTGTTCCATTATGTGTTAGACTAATGGGAAGGAATCAGCTTTGACAGCAACCTGTTTGTCCATTTCTTGGCATAAAAGCGTTTCCTTCTGATTTTTCAGATGCAGAAGGGTAGAATGTAATGTAACAACAATGGTAAAATATTCAGATGGATACTTTTCAAATGTTTTACAAAGTAATTAGTGTATCCCGAATTGTTCAGAGAAGGGGCTTAGAGATAACATGGAAAAGCTCAAAGGAGCAGCAAGTAATCTTTGCTACCTTTTAGCCCCTAACCTGAAGCTTACTTTTCAGAAACAAACAGTACCTAGTGTTGTTCTTATCCCTTCTTAACAACAATTGTGCACAATTATATTTATCAGTGTTGGTGTCTTGATTTGGTCACTCCTGAGATTCCAGAAATTAATTCTGGAACTTTGATTACATCACTTGGTCTTGTTTATTACTGCAGGTGATGACCAGTACTTTTCACTGGTCTCTGACCCATCTTTATATGTGCTGTGTTTAATAATATGTTCTTATCCACAAAAACACCCGTGCAATGATTTGCAGGAAGGCAGCAGATCTTCCGTAGCACCTTGTCATCTGATGCTTGGCCTGTAATAGTGGTCCTCAGGTGCACACATGGAAAAAAACAAATACTGTTTGCAACAGCAGGTCTTAGAAGGACAAGCTATTTGTTATCTTTTGAGAAGTACAAGCTACTTGGTTGTACCATTTGGCATTAGATAAGATTATATTTGCAACAGTAGCCTGAGAACACATTCTAGTTGTTTAGGGGTTTTTTCAGCAGTAAGTTTCACACTTCACATTAGTGAAAAAATACATTTCTGCAGTATTTTTAAATAGGAAATACATTTTGTTATATTACTATTGCCAGGTTTGTATGGAATGAAAACACAGCGTAGAACATTCTTATCGCAAACTACACAAATAGAAATTTATGCACTCAAAATACATTTGAAGTATTTAATTTCTTTTAGTCTTCTGTGTCAAAGTACCTTGGAAAAGGATGTTTTTTATTTGCATATTTCCTTGATTGACTAAATAACTTGTTTTCTCATTAGCATTCCATGCCAGGGTAATGCATTGAATTTGCATTTATTTGCATTAATTAATTTGCTATCAGGATGGTTAATTTGTGCGTTTCTTAATGTTCCATTCCTTTAACACATTGATGTGGGAATGCTTGCCAGCGGAGCTTCATACAGGAGCAGAAAGGCACAAAGATACAGAGCGACCAGCGATGCTGCTGCGTGTGGAAATACTATGGACCCAGCCTAGGGCTCCCATGTCTTTGGTATATATAGTTTGTGTAGTGTGCATGTAGTGAATAGAAGTCCCTTTAGAAAGTCCTGGCATACTTAGGCATGTGCCAATAGGATTGGTATTCACATGCACAGAGAGCTCATGCTCCTTGGGAAGCGCTGGACTTAGCATGAAGATCAGTAGTACCCTGTCTGCAGAGACAGAGAACAGCACAAATACAGTAACCCATCTTACGGTAGGTTAGTCCTATCTCACATGGGAATTTTGAGACAAAAATAAAAAGAAAGCTTCAGAAACAAAGCTTTTCCAGCTGGGGGGCTTTGGGGATTTTTTTTGGTTTTGGTTTTGTTTTTCCATTATCGTATTTAAATCAAAAGGAATATTGTCAGACATGTCAGTAGGCACTGGGAAAAAAGTGTTGATTTCTAAATTCAAATGAATTACAAAATACTGATTTTGAGATTAAAAATTTATTCAACAATATTAAGAATATATATACATATAAAGAATAAAACTCTTGTAACATTAGTAGCAATAAACTTCATATCTGTCTTCTGTCATGACAGCAAAAGACTAATCAAAGTATTTGAATTAAAATGGAAAGTAGAGATCATCAAGAGTAAAATAACCTCTATGTTAGAACGAAGTTGTTGCTAAGATATTTTCCAGGATTTTCCTTACTCTTTTGCCCACCCTGATATATATGCTAATGATTAACATTCAAAATCTGCTCTAGTTATAAACCATTTCATATTAATAGCATTCGGAATGTGAAATATATGAGAAAACATGTCAAGAAATTGTTCCTTATTTATTTCAAGTATTTCAAAATGTACAGTCTTCTGTCAGTCTTCTGAAACATGCGGTTTCTTCTCTATTTAAAAGACATCAAGGCTTCTCAAAATGAACAGAAACCCCATAAATGAATGAGATGGAAATGAATGTTCTAGGTGTGAAGGCTGATTCATGGTGGTATTTTTGGAGACAAACACTAATTGTAATGTAGAGAATGGACTCTGTCATCTTCATTTATCATCAGGAAATGACACTTCAAAATACCTAGTGGTTTTTTTATAATCTCCAGAATCTACATTAAACAAATCATTCTTATAAATCAAAGGCTGTATCCAGGAGGATTAGTGCAATAATTGGCCTGCTGAATTTTTTTGCGCCAAAAGGAGATCTTCTGGATAATACTTATATATATATTTAGTAACATTATTCATGTCAAATGGTAAAAACTTTGTTCCCAATATTCTTTAGTCTCAAACTGAAATTTCCCTTTAACACAAAGCCTTTTTTAGCCCCATGGCACAGGTACTCAGATGAGCATTTACATTTTCTTTGTACTGTTTAGGTTATAACATCCTTGTCAGTGCTCTATTTCAGTGTACGCATATCCATCAAAAGAAATATTCTCGTTGATTACACTGGTCTTTGGATCATAAATGATCCAAAGTTCTAGAAGTAAGTGTTGTTCATTGTCCTCCTAAAATGACTGTCAGATCGTGCTTTTGTGAGAGAAGTGTGTGAAGTCCTTGGCCTGGAGAAGTCAGTGAATATTTGTTGGTTCAGAGCAATTTGCTACTTAGCATTAATTGCACTAAAAAAGTTATGAGCAACCTCTACTCTGTGCATTAATTTCTTGCTACACTCTCATTTTAGTTTGACATGCATCCCACTTCTAAACTCTGGCATGTATTGTTCGCAAAAAAGTTTTCAACCTGTTGTATGATATTCTTGTGGTAATTAGCACTTGCTGTGCCATGCCATGTATTTGAGTAGTCCAGATGTTCTGTTGGGAAGCAGTGGAGCAGCAAAATTGAGCTCTGTGGTGAGGCACAAAAAAATGTCTCAAGCATGAAAGTGTAGGTTTATTTTAGTGGATTTCTAAAAATCATTTTGAAAGAGTATACCCTTTTGGTTTGATAAAAGTATTCTATCGCTTAAGGAAAGCAGTAGCAGTGAGTACTGTAGTTTTATTTGAAGTATTTTACCTACTTTGAAGTCACTGCATACAAATGAGATTTCCCTCTACCTAAGAATGGTTATCTGAATTCACAATTACATGTACTTGATCTAATGTCAAATATAGTGTTTTCTACCCTTTTTTACTCTTGTTATCACTGAGAAGCCTATGTTAGAGAGGAAGGGTGAATTATTTCCCTTCCTGTATATCATCAGAGATTGTTTATTAAATTCTAATAATAGAATAAATTGGTTACATCAGTGAAAACCCATTGAGGGCACTGAAGTCACATAGGGAGAGATAGTGTGGCCTGAAGGACTCTTACTACTAATGTTTATGAGAGATAAGTGAAAGTCACCAGGTTAAAATCTGTTTTCTTCTGCATTGAATATATTAACTTCAAGTCTCTCTTAGAGACAGTATGTATGGAAGCTTAGACTGGAATTTTTAAGACACTGCAATATTATGTTACAGTGTCCATGTTTAAGTGCTTGTGTTTAAGAGCAGAATAATGCTATAATACAGAAATAAAGGTTGGTTTTAAATAATTAAAGTTATCAGCTAAAAAAGCATAGTAAATGCTTTG